AWMGAATTTATKAKGARGACTGTTTTAGCAGGCATGACAAAYTGCGAGCACTGCACATTGCTTATTTTGTGTTTAACATTAATAGATCAATATMGCTGCACATGTCACGGTAAAAAATTCAAAGAGWTAGAAAACAACGTTTATTGATTGTTCTTTTATTTATTGTCGTGAAGTTTTCGCTTTATTCCAACTTAGATCCATGTTGTTGAAATCCGAATAGGCTTATAACCCTGGTGTCCTACTGTATGTTGTGCGAGCATTTAATCACAAATAATGCAGACCCTTGCACTCCTACCAACCATTAAGATACTAGCGGTCCTCAGTTCAAGAGAGCGGGTGTGTTGTTTTCATAAGAGGTATCGTGAGAGACATTATTTAAGATTTTGGGCCTTCTACTTAACGTTCAGTGTTTATGAAAAGCCAAAGCGAAGAGGATCAAAAAAAAATAAAAAAAATAAAAAAAAACCTTACGAACTCAATCGAAAACCATCGCACTTTAAGTGTCCAGGATCTTAGAATCCGTTGCTGGTACTTCAGGGTCATTTTACCTTTATAACTAATCGACTTAATCGAAAACCATCGCACTTTAAGTGTGCAAGATCTTAGAATCGCTGCTAGTACTCCTTTATAACTAATCGACTTAATCGAAAACCATCGCACTTTAAGTGTGCAAGATCTTAGAATCGCTGCTAGTACTTCAGGGTCATTTTCCTTTAAACGAACCAAATCAATCGAATAACACCCCCAAACAACACCTTTATTGTTTCTTTTGTTTAGCACTTCATTTGCTTTTTTTGTTTATTTCTCGTTACCATGCCTACCTTGCTCCTATTGGTCTATTCTCTTTGCTACTCTTACTATATAAACTCACACTATACCTAGTTCCATCTCTTTACTCCGACGAAGGATTARCGTCCGAAACGTCAGTAAGTTATTTCACATACTTTTTTACGACGTTAAATTTATCTTTTTACACAACTGAATAATACCCCACTTTAAATATGCTAGATCTTAGAATCGTTGTTAATAATCCAGGGTCRTGCTTCCTTACTAACCAAAAGTCCCTCTCCTCCTTCCTAATTCAAAACTTTCATTTGTAAGTTAATTTATTTATTGATAATTCTAAAGTTTACAAAAACATGAATCCCGCACACAAGCTTTAGCACTCAACCAATACTCTACGCCATTAGTCATACGTGGTTTTGCGCAATAACGAATCCATTCTTACAATCTTATAAAAATTATCAAAAAATTAGTCTCCKTCCTTAGTTCTCTCAACCGGTAAAACAAGAATACTCCAGTTTSGAATTCAAAGCGATTAACCGCTGTTTTATTTGACAGCAGATTCTCTTACGCAAAGAACTTACCAAACACAAAAGAAAGCACGAGAAAATGTTGTAAGTACAATAGCGCTAACAATTTGCACCGAGTTGAGGCTAACCCTGTATTCCCAGAAAGCTCATACCTTAGATCTTATGGGAATACAGGGTTAGTCTCAAACCGGGGAAAATGCAAATTTTGAAGTCTATTGTATTAACGACATTTTCTCGTGCTCTCTTTTGTGTTTGGTCAGCCCTTTGCGCAAGAGAATCTGTTGTCAAATAGAGCAGCGGTTTTTCGCTATGATATTGTGAACAAAAACACATGGATATTTTTTTCCCAAAGGGCAAATGGCATTTGACGAGGCGCACCCATGTAGCACAGATGGCGAGGGTTATGCCTGCTCTGCAGCAGATGGACAAGTCTGTCTTGCTAAATGGGATGGCCCTAACTTTGGTATTACAAATTTTGATAACATTGGTCTAGCATGTCTAACAGTATTTCAGTGCATAACACTGGAAGGATGGACAGACGTTATGTATAGTGTAAGTAAAATATAGTGTAYTGCGCATGTGCAATTGAAAGTCAAAGTCGCGATTTTTGCAACACTTTTGTAAATTCTCACGCGCTTATTGGCTCATTAAAGTGCAGACATTCACATTGCTGACACCATCACGGATCGTTGCGCGCTCTATTGAAAGAAAAGAATGATTTTCGTCGCTAATTTTTGGAAAGTATAAAGCAAATTGCACAAGGTTTTGCCAAGTTGTATATTATCCACTTATTGACACACTTTTGACATCAAAAACTTTGCAGTGACTCCACTCGCTCGTGTGGCCCCTTGATTATGACGTCGATAGCTATTATAGTGATAATAGCTCTCGACCAATCAGCGCGCGAAAAATCTACAAGTTATTATAAAATATTCTATAAAAAAAGGTGCTCACTTAAACGGGTTTACAAGATGATTATAAGTCGCGGTGATAAACAGGTCCTTACTTGGAATTTTTGACGGCATATAAGCATTCAAAAGCTCTCCCTCCTTGGAAATTTAATGGCATTTAAGTATTTAAAAGTAGAATACAAGAACCACTTTGTGGTAGCTCTTGACCAATCAGCGTGCGATAAATCCACAAGTTTATTATTAAAAAATAGGATTTACAACTCAAAACCGTACACAGTTTGTTAACTTAAAAGCATGAACTTCAGTAGCAGAGTTCACTTACGATTTGATATRCAAGACTTTTCATTGCATGGATGTTAGCGTTAAGTTCAATGTTTTTTCCCTTCCTTTTCCAGATAAATGATGCCGTTGGTAATTCCTGGCCATGGCTTTACTTTGTTACTCTTATTATATGGGGATCATTTTTCGTCCTCAATCTAATTCTTGGTGTTCTTAGTGGGTAAGTGTCAAAATAAAGCATCATTCTGGTAAATTATGGACTCCAAAGGTTGAGCACGAATCGCCAGTTAGTGCTTCGTTCCAGTTAGTGTTATTGCTTCGGTCAACCAGAAKTCCACTTTAACATGACATCTTGTGACAAAATTTTACCAATCATGCACTTATCGTACTAAACTTTATTGCTCTTTATTTTGAACGCTGTTTTTGTCTTTTCGTTGCACATCAAACTTTAATAAACTTCCGATCGATTATTATACACTTCGTTTCACGGGATTATAAAACTACTTTATAATGATGAYCGTCCTTTGCAAGAAACCAGGAGGCAGTAATCTTTGCACTGGAGAACATATTGTAATATTAATATCCGTTTTTATCCCCATTTAGTGAATTTGCCAAAGAGAAATCTAGAGCTCAGAAAAGCGGAGAATTTCAAAAGCTTCGTGAAAAACAGCTCATCGAYGATGCGTATCATGGCTATTTGGAGTGGATTGCACAAGCTGGTAAGGCTATACACCTATTTTAAAGATTGTTTGATAGAATKAGAAAATCCACGACTGAAAGGTATTGTGGGTGCGTATTTTTTCTTGACTCCGTTAGAGAAGATTTTAGATAGAAATGATTTTTCGTTGAAACGTCAAGAGGATCATTTTCTTTGTTTTCTCAGTCTTGTTACGACAACCATTCGATATCATTGCCTTCGATAAAAGTTAGGATTTATCGTTTGTTAGCCATTCTGAGCTCCCGATGCGTGCGACAACCTTTCGACTGCATTTAATTAATACCTTCGATATATTGTTCTGTAGTAAATGAAGATAATCGTTCATCAATATCAAATACCCATAGTTCCGCGGRGTCGCCTAATCTCCATACCGACAACCTTTTTTCAAGACTTGATGAGTACAGAGAGTTATTCCCACATAAACTCGTCTTTTGTACGGAATAAAACCCCGGAAACTAAGTTTATTTCCTTAACTAACAGTAAAAGAAGGTCACAATCGTAGATTTTATGACAAATAGGATTATGATTAGTTGGTCGTTCTGCTAACGGATRTAATATGGGGGAGGATATCATTTCTCTTCCTCGATTCATATAAGTAGGATTGCTAAATTACTTATAAATAGAGGAACAAAGTTTAAAAAAGTGCGCACGGAAAAGAAACGAAATAATCGGCGCATATCAAAGGATTAGTGTCGGAATTAATTTTCTTGTTCAGAATTTTCTGTTGATTATAACTTATTCAAGTCAGCAGCGTTTTTAATGATAATTTTTATCAATTTGAAAAGCGAACTCCAATWTGGCATTTTTGCTTCAGTCGTTGCTTTCGAGACTTCTCGCTCACACGCGAACTAACTCCAGATATTTAATATATAATCAGAATTCGTTTGTTGATTAATTTATATTAGCTTTTTTTAAAGTTAGCAATGTGTTTTATATTGTAAATCAAAAGAATGTCGGATGTCATGTTACATCGATGCGGAACTATTTCGTTAAAGCAAAAACGTTTTTAATTGTGTCTCTGAATATTCTTAAATTTGGTATATAATTAATGGTATGAATACAGCAATATGCAGAAATTATGATCTTTTTAATTTGAATCATATTTTAAGTATATATAAAATACATCACAAATTATGGTATGTCATCGCCAATATTTTTTTAGAAAGCACTAGTAATAGGCAACTTCAAAAAAATATTGGCGATGATATGCCATAATTTCTGATATATTTTATATATGCTTGTCAAAAAGATCATAATTTCTGCATGTTGCTGTACTAAGAATGTATATCATATGTCCAATCTCTATTATCTTATTGAATTTTGATTTTATCTTCCCGTTAATAGCAAAGTTGTTGCACAAAATTACTATAATTACTCAGTTTAGCTATACAGCGATGCCTTACAGCYCCATCTGCATATTAATAAGTTTTATAAGTCAATTTTGTTCTCATTTTGATTTTGTTCTACAAGATATTCCATTAGTTGCAGTACASCGAGCGGCGATAAGAAATACATAGTGGGCGTTAATATAGATCTTTTTCTCCGTACTCTTCTCTTTCCAAGACTTGTAGTATTACTAATAGTCTATATAAAGTGGATTTGTGGGTGGTAATGGTTATTGTTCCTAATCGCATAAAAGCGCTGTGTGTTTTGCATACGGGTATTTCCGTGCCATGATTTTAACGTCGAAATTTATCGATTTCATAAATGAAATGGTTTAAAACACACTTCATGTCATTTGATCGAATTTATTATTGTATTTTTTATCAGTTTTTCTCAGGTAAAAATCTATATGTTCTTTAATATACCCAAATATCTAAATACCCAAATCGTTCCCAAGCCCTTTTCCGACTAACCCAAGCGAAGGGATAAAGGTMCTGGGAACGAGGTTGCCTAAATATCATTACGGCCGCCATCTTGATTTCTGTTGTTTTTTTTTAGTAACGAATCACTAAGAAACTATGGGATGTTTAGTGGGCACTGCAAAAACATTTAGATTGTACAATATAGGATATAATACTGCATTATAAAATGAAAAAAAAAACATCTAAAAACATGACACATATTTCTTTTTCACCCATTCATCTCTTCGCCTTGAAAACGTCTTTAAATTCCAATAGACTATAATCATTACGCAGCATATTTTGATAAGACATTGATACCAAAAATGATATTGATACCAAACATTTGGGGGTAAGTGACGTCAGTAAATTCATTATTTCTTTTGAACCAAAGTTTCTCCGCTGTGAGTGACTCGAAAACAAAAAATTTCGCTGATAAGTTTTGATATGTATTACCAAGACATATATGCGCCAAATATTATATATTTATGACTCCAAGTTTAGAAATTAGGGCATTTTCATCCAAGTAGTACTTAAGAAAATGCGTACCACATTGATTGATGGTTTCTATGTTTTCATTGTTTAACAGAGGACATCGAAGATGAAGAGGGTGCTGACCAGGACCAAGAAGGAGTTCCTGGCCGAAAACTATGTATGTATACGAAATTTAGTGGTAGGCAGTAGTGTATGTTTCGGTATTGTTGCCCAGTGATACAAACGCTTCTTAATGCAATTGGTACGAAATCAGGCAATAATGGTCGACTAAACCTACACTTCTTCTCATGTATTTATGGTACTATTTCTGTCTACAGCTACGAAACGTCGTAAGGAAGACGGCGAATTAGCAGAGAATGAAGAAAATGTAGAAAGCTCGACGGCGTTAGATCAAGGTGGAGGATGGCTAGAACACAAAAAGTATGTAATTTCATATTTACCCCCTTACCCCCTCCCCCTCCCCTCCCCCTCTTCCTTCATCACATATTCCATTTTACATCAAGACATGTTGATGCTCTTCTCTGCGTTTGATGTCCGTCAAAGCGACGCCATGTTTATAATAGTAGGGTGTTCTTATGCCTAAGGTCCAAAGAAGAAATATAATCTTTCCATTCGCCCTCTACCTGTTATTTTCAGGGAGTTGAAATAACTCCAAAAGTGGAGCTAAAAAAGGTGATGACTACTTTTTTGGAGTAACTTCAACTCCACTTATTCTACTTAGGTATCTTCAGGTGGAGTTAATATTATCCATAGTGGAGTTAAAATTACCCCTTACTCTCATTACGGAGTAGATTTAACTCCCTTTAAAGTTAGAGCGGATTTCGTATGAGTGGGAAACGGACGGTACTTTACTGTGACCGTAATCGTACTGTAACCAAATTCTAGTGCCCCATTGGTTCACCAAAATTGTGCAGGCCAGGTGCGGTAACTGTGCGGTAACCGTGCGGTAACGGTGTCCCACTCATACGAAATCCGCTCTACTCCATTCTGTGGAGTAAATTTAACTCTCTTGACAGAGTTATATCAACTCCCTGAAAATAACAGTTTGTCCTCGTTTCTGGACGATTAAGATTCAAACGATTATATTATAGTAACCGGATGTCGGTCCTTAGTAACTGAGTGTCGATATTTCGTTCAACAGGAAAGTAATAAAGAGACTTCATCACCGGTTACGACGGTTCCTCCGCAAAGCAGTGAAAACACAAGCCTTTTATTGGACAGTTATTGTAGTAGTATTTTTGAATTCGTTAACGCTCGCCTTGGAGCACTATAATCAACCTGAATTTCTTACCCAATTTTTAGGTGAGTAGTCTTCTGTAATCAGCGTTAATGTAAAAATGGTTTTATTTTGAAATCTAGTTTTAACTATATTTGCCATTTGTAGACTCAGTCTATGTTTGAGCGATAGACCCCCATGCCTGTCTGATCACACCTGTCTGAAGATATTTTGATCACAGAGGGTTTTCTTACGCGAACGCATGAACCGTACGTTCGCCACACCCATCCGATATTTGAATCCGGATTCGTGTGGATTGGGCAGCAATAACTTCATCAAACAGCATTATAATCATTACCATGCTGCGTTATAAACACGGACAACATTTCTCAATCATTATAATCATSAGTAATCTGTAGGCATCATTTGACATCGTTAGGAATCATCAGACATCGTACATTATCAGACATCGTTTTCTGAGCATTATTATCAATACCATACAACGTCATAAAATAAGACAGCATTCATCATTATCATCTGACTTGATAATCATCAGACATCATTCGCCATCACTATCATCAGACAATAGAAACAACATCACAGTTTCACCATCTATGCGATCGTCGCCACCCGTTATTACTCCATAATTTATCTTCTTTCACATTTATCATGTTGAAAATGGTYATAGTTAATAACAACTTCCAGAACTGTAAATCTATTGTTATATTGAATTATCCCTCACAATTTTATGTTACGTCCACAGATAAAGCAAATAAATTATTCTTAGCTCTATTTACACTTGAGATGTTGGTTAAGATGTATTGTCTGGGATTTCACGTCTACTTTGCTTCATTATTCAATAGATTTGATTGTTTGGTAAGAATACAGAGGTGTCCGTATTGTAGAGGTTTCGGTATTATAGAGTGTTTCGTATTGTAAAGATGTCCGTGTTGTAGAGATGTTCGTAATGTAGAGATGTTCGTATTGTAGAGATGTTCGTATTGTTGAGGTGTTCGTATTGTAAAGGTTTCCGTATCATAATAATGCTATTCATGAGGTAGGCATRTCCGCTTGTAAACATCCCTCGGAAGACAAAAGAATCCGAGGTGATCATGGTATTACGTGCGTAAATCATCCCAGACAACTCAACCTTCAAAGCTGATRTTGARAAACCAACCAATCAAAAACAAGCTTTTCTTTTCAAAACAAAACAAGCGTTCGCAAAGCATGATGGGTGATATTTGTTAAACWCTTTATAAACATCTTCTATTTTATCCCAGGTTGTTGTAAGTAGTCTATTAGAGTTGGCATTAACAGAAGCGCTGGACCAACGTCCTATTGGTATCAGTGTTCTGCGATGTGTTCGTCTTCTTAGAATATTTAAAGTCACAAGGTGAGACCTTAGTTACTTATTACATCGCCTTTTTTGAAGCATTTTGTKACGACATTGGTTGGAATATTGCAAAAGTATTTTTATTGCATCCAATCGTATTTGACTGTATCTGGAAAGTTTGGAAAACGGTCTTTGGAGAATGGAAATACTTAAAAACGTACCGAATAGGTTTTTGCGTGGACGTGAAAAATTGCAATCACATCTGCAAGCGAAATTTACGGAATATTTCCGCATTTGTGTTAATGTTACAACAAGAAATACTTAGTAGGTGAAGAACAAGAAACAGTTGGTCATTAATTGTCTTTCCCAGGTTTACTGTCTTCAAGCTAAGGGTGTTAATTTTTTGATTGCAGATATTGGAGTTCGTTAAGTAACTTAGTAGCGTCACTTCTAAATAGTATGCGGTCCATTGCTGGACTGTTGCTGCTTCTATCGCTTTTTATGCTGATCTTTTCTTTACTTGGAATGCAAATATTTGGTGGAAAGTGAGTATTGAAACACGATGCTGAACAGATAGTCAGACAGGCAGTCATGATGATTACAAACAGACATACAGATATGTAGAAATGCAGAAATAAAATTCCAACATTATATATAATTATATCATCAATAAGAACACAAACACCAATAGCAGCAACAGCAACAGCAACAACAACGACAAAAACAACAACAACATCAGCAACAGCAGCAAAACGACAAAAACAACACCAACACCAATAACAGCAACAACAACGACAACGACAAAAACAAAAGCAGCAACAACAACATCAGCAATAGCAACAACATTCAGACAGTTTGACAGCAAAAGAGACGCTAACATTCATTCTAAAAATYAAGAAGACAGCCAGTGTAAATCGATAGGCCAAGAAAAACGAGAAAACAAGGAAGGCTTAGAATTTTAGACAGATATATACACAAGCAGAGAGATGGTTAAATATTCAGACAGCCAGAAAGGCAGATTGACCGACAAACAGATAGCCAGTTGCATACCGGGAGGCAAGCAGACAGATATTAATATATTAACTCTTGTATGAAATACTGCTCCACAGATTTAATATAGACGATACTGAAGTCCCTAGAAGTAATTTTGACTCTTTTTGGCGAGCTATAGTTACAGTCTTCCAAGTAAGAAAAACATTATAATTAATTAGATGAATGTTTTTTTTACAATTTTTATCGTTGGATTTATTCCTTAGTGCTTGTGTAACTCTCCTTAATAGTCAATGTGCAGCGACGCCATTTTGTACAGCAAAGCATGATGGGAGTTGTAGTCCTCCATATCCCCTAAAGAATCTCCTTAAAACTGCATGAAACGGTTTTAATATTTTCTTTGTTGAAACGGCACAACTTGTTTTTATTTCACTTTAGAGAAAAAGCAAAAGCAGCTCATAAGTACTGTTTTAGCGGATATGAAAAAGCGCGCGGGCAACAACTACTGTCATGTTTTATTTCACAAAATGGCGTCGCTCGACCTTGCCTATTGCAAGCCTCATTGCTAAACCATTCTTGCTTTATTTTCAGATCCTAACAGGAGAGGACTGGAATGCAATAATGTATATTGGAATACTATCCTGGGGTGGAATCACCGATTCTTCATCTGTTATACCTATTTTATATTTTATATTTCTTGTGATTGTTGGAAATTGTATCCTTGAGTTAAAGTTTACATTTCGTCTGAGTTTATTAATGTTGCTACGGTCGTGTCCTCCATTATATTTGATTGTTGTAGCTATTGCCGTTTGGTCGTGTCCTCCATCATTTTTTGATACTGTTGTTGCTATATTGTACTTTGATGTCATCACTATGTTGTTTATGACTTTTTTCCTGCTCGTTAGAGGACCACTAGTTTATCAACTGCAAAGTGTTCTCCTCATAAAGTTAATTAAATTATTATCAAAACGATTACTGCTTTTGCATTTTCCTAAACTTTAAATAGATATTTTACTAAACGTATTCTTGGCCATCGCCGTGGATAACTTAGCTGATGCAGAAAGCTTAACAGAAATGGAAAATGAAAAGAAGAAGAAAGAAGAGGAAAAGAAGGAACTAGAGAGTTCGAGAAGTAGTCTGTCTGAGTCACCAACTAAAGGGTACTCCTTGATTGATGTTTATTGGTGTAATRTTGAGTGGTTGTTGATCATTTTTCTTTTTGCKCAGAGCGTTATCGAAGGCATCTCAAGAGCTCCACTCAAACGGGAATGGCATCCCAAGGGTATGTATATAGTCTAAAATAATCTTAGTGTCTTTATTTAGACMACCACAWGATAGGAAAGTGCGTAAGGGAAATGCCACGCGAGTCGCTTTGAACAGCGTTTTGCTCACCGTGAACAGCAAAAATTGGAGTACACACGCTCCTCAAATCGACTCGCGTGGAATTTCTCTTACACACTCTCTTTTCGTGTGCGTTGGGCTTTAATTTCGAAATGGCTTTATCTGGGTGGTTGGGAACTCTTGTGAGCTAGTATCATAGAGAATATTTCACAAAGGTTCTATGATGCACATGGGCGATATATGTCAAATCATTGTCTGAATAAGAAATTGAATAACATTGTGCATTGTGTTTTTATTTATTTATTTATTTTTATTTTCAGGCAATATCTGAGGGTGATGTCGAATCTCAGTCTCACGAAAAAGGATCTAAGATCACATTAGACAGTAAGAATACTATTTGCATGGTTTCTATGCTTTGTTGTATGGGAATTCGTGAATGTGTCTTAATGATAATCACTGTTCTGGTCTTTAAGTCCTTATGCACCTCTGGGTGCGAAGCAGCGCGGAAATTCTTGTCACCAAGGACAACTATACTTGCATTAACTAAAGATATCCTCACAGATTATTTCGATTCTTTTTTTGCAGGATCAACGCACTCTGTAAGAAGTACGACATCAACAGATGAGAACCTGGATCGTGAACCCATGCCTCTAGAAAGCTCTATGTTCATATTCTCCAGTACAAACTGGTTAGAGACTAAATTGCGATTCACTTCCTGTTTCTTGTCTTCAATTGAAGATAACAATTCTATAGTGTCCCATCTTTCTTCACGTTTTTTGTTTTATTTTCAATCCTTTTCCATTCATTTATTAGATTTTTTCATGTTGTGTTCTCCTTACTTTCTCTTAAGATTCTTTATTACACCACCCCCCCCGAACCCTCCCACTCCCCCCTCCGAACCCTCCCACTCCTTCAATGCAGTTTATTTGACAATTTATACGAATTTAAAAAGATGATTGTAGGTTGGATTTAACTTCAAAGTGTACTTTGCTGCATCAACCTTGGTGTTTAATAAAAGTTAGGTTTTATTTTATTTGATGCGGCAAAGTACACTATGAAATTTATACGAAGTTTGGAAAAAGCTGTTATCCACTCCATAGATTGTTGTATGATTTTATCCGCTGAATAAGGATTTATCAAGTGAACACTTCTATTCATCCTTAATACAACTGGCCCTCGCTCTTTCCTTTCTCTCTTCTCTCCCTATGTTACTCCTATCATCAACCTACCAGAGATTTCACAGTCATGTCATTGTAATGCGTTTCTTTGTGTGGTTGACTTTCAGTTTTCGTATACTGTGTCATAAGTTTGTTACCAACATCTACTTCGTGAATTTCATCTTGATATTAATCATCGTTAGTAGCGCTTTACTTGCTGCTGAGGACCCTCTTAATGCCAACTCTAAGCGAAATCAAGTAAGTAGAGAAATAGAGTGCACTATTTAGTCAAGATTAACAACAAACTGTCGTTAGAGTGAACGCACTTAATCAGTGCAACTGTACAAAACAAATAGTGCTTTTTAGTTTTATTTAGTAAATCGTGCATGCGGTACGCAAATTAAATTGAATTGCTTCAAATGAAGCATTCAATACCTTCTTGCTTCAGGTCCACTTTTAGTACAAATTAATACTACTTAGATTTTGTACAGTTGCAAGGATTAAGTGCGTTCACTCTAAAATTGTTTTTGTAATGAATTTGGACTGAATCGTCGTGAATCCGTCCTGTTTGGGGAATTGTCGCAACGTTGTTTCAGTTAAGGTATTTTTTGAATTTATTTTCAGATATTAAATTATTTTGACTACTTTTTTACAACGGCATTCACAATTGAAATAACTGTTAAGGTAGGTTAACTATTGATTGATT